CGATCCCTGAGGGACACCACTTGTTACTGGAACATAATACTGGAACATCCACCACTATGGTAGTAATGGTTTTGTCTTGTATTTCAGGAAGCTTTGTGCAAGAGTGAAAGAGCTCGAGTCATGGAAAACCAGAAGTATGCTCCAGTGTGGACATTCAGGAAGAGCCCACCACCTGACTGGTATCTTCCACTTGACCAAGACAAACAAAATTAGCAAGACTGCTTTGCTGTGTTTGGTCAGTAATGCAATACACAATGCAGAACTGTGCTGGGCTGCTTCGGTTTCTTCCACGTCATGTTGAGATTATGTATTGCCCCAGCAATACTTCAGTGCTCATTCAAAAAGTGAGAGATCACTTCAATGCCCAGTACTATTTAAATGGAGAACTGAGGTGCTTAATTCGATCCTGGTCTCTTACTACTGCGTCATGCTTTAGGATTTCATCTGAGCAACTTGGCAGGCAAGTCCCACATTAGTGCATACATGATCTAGTTCCTCTTGCTAGGCCAGGACCTCTTCCCCTAGCAGCCAAGTGTTATGCACTTGGGGAACAAGGTACCCCCCAGCCGTGCCAGATGGGAAGACAAAAACAAGCAGGGACTCCTCCCTGCCAGTTTAGGACAAACACACCCAACTGGCATGTAAAAGGCACTTCCTGGATTTGTGACTGTTAAGGGCTGAGAACTCCTAACCTGGTGGGATGAAACTGAAACCCTGCCCCTTTGTGGAATTGCTCTTTAATGGGTGTGTGTCAATGGCAGTACTTAAAGTTACTACAAAAATAAAGGTTTAAATGAATGAAATCTGTTTTGGCTTACGGCAAACCCTTAGAAACTTAAAACAGTTATATACCAATATTAAAAAAAATCCCTCAATTTTGACTTTATCACCACATTTTCCCTCTTTGATGCAAAAGTATTTCACTGAAGTCTGAAAAGAAAGGCAGTAAACAGCTGTTAACTCCCTTCTAGTACAGACTCTGATACAGAATCATAGAATAGTTAGGGTTGGAAAGGACCTTAAGATCATCTAGTTCCAACCCCCCTGCCATGAGCAGGGACACCACACACTAAACTATGTCGCCCAAGGCTCTGTCCAGCCTTTCCTTGAACATCACCAGGGTTGGAGCATTCACAGCTTCCTTGGGCAACCTATTCCAGTGCCTCACCACCCTCACTGTGACACTCTTTACTCACAGCACGGGAATCTTCCAAGTTATGGTTTATGCAAAACAAAAAAATGCTGCATGGAGGGATGACAGAAGCCCAGAAAGATAAAATACTCTTTGAAATACTACTTTGTCTTGTTGCAGCATGGCACGGGTGCAAGGCAGTGCAGCTTTGTTGGGCATCTTACTACCTAGATTGCCGTTAAAAAAACCCAACCAAACAGATGCTTCATTAATACATATTTTTTTACAGTCTCAAACCTACAGTAATCTACAGAAGGAGTTATTCATCCTTATTCCATTCTTTCCTCCTTCAGTCAGCTGAATAGTTCATGCCAGATGAGCTACAAACTCCTCCATCACTGTGTATACACTTTGGTGATATCAATGCATTTTCCTTCAGGAGGATCGTACCCAGGGAGCGGTGGGGTGTAACAGGGTCCATCTCTCTCAAAGGGGAAAAGCCCCTCATCTCGTCTGATTGCTGCTTGATACAACTCCTCTGATTCAAGGCGCAGTTCCCTTAGTGCCTCTTGCTGAGCTTCTACCATGGTCTGAATTGCTTTCTTTTCTGCATTATCTTGTTTCTGCTTAAACAGACACCACTTTTTCAGAAGTAAAACTCTCCTTTCAGTCTCCTCAGGTGACAGATCGGGAAGACTTCGCACCCTGATAAAAAGTAAAATAACATTGTTATAAAAATAGCCTGCACCCCAAAGAGCAAATTAAAGCAAACAAAAAACCCCACCAAAACCAGGGAGTTTTTTCTTCATACAGTGTCTGTCTCTGAGGTTTTCCAGTCATTCTAACAGGACATTTGTGTTACTATTTTGTTCCACTGCTTTTAGCAGGAGCAAATACAATTTATTTTCCATGTTTGGTAGAAGCAGGCAAGGTTTTGTCCCAGGGCTGGCACTATGTTGCTGTTTTGCAGAGGGAGAAGTGTTTCTACCATGCATGCAACCGCACAGTGTAAGACTGACCTGTTGCTATCTGAGTACTTCACTGGTGGTATAAAATCCTCAATTGGAATCAATTCTGGGGCAGCCTTTTCCAACTTTTTAATCCTTTTTTTCATACGATCCTTCTGTGCTTGCTCTCTCTTCACATCCACTTTCTTCTTCTTCTTTGGTTGTGCTCTACAAGGGAAATAATGGTGTGAATGAAAGATACTTTGTTGTTTAACTGAACACCAGCAGCTTTCACTTCCACTTTGCTTTTCTAAGGAGTGTTCCTTCCTATTGCTTAATTTGGTCCCTGACAGAGGTTCCTGCCATGACCTGTATTCAAATAATGCAGTTTTCCAGGAGACAGTAGCATGTCTTATGAGATTTTCTGCAGGGAAGACCGTGGCTGCCTGAGAAAACCAACCTCAAAGTTTGTGCTGAGCATGAGAATGACCTGAGGAAATGCCACAGAAACTGACCTGGAATTGTTGTGCACTAGCTCAGGTGCAGCAGAGCAGATAACAGGTTTATCTCCAAGTATTCCTGTTCTCCCTCATCACAAAGGAGAGTGAGTGGTTTCACACATGCTTCTAAAATTTCCATGCTTGGTACCAAATTCAGGGTGCAGATGTTACCCTCCTGTTGTACTTCTTCATGCAGACCCAGTATTCCCAAGGTAAGACATGGCACACTCCCCAAACACAAAACTAAACCCTCACAGGGGGCCTGTGGTGAGTTATCATTCCTGACTTGCAGATTGAACAAACAGCTGCTGTGGTGGGAAACAGCCTCTCTGATGGTACCAAACAGCTACATGGATATTTTAAATCTAGTTGCATCAAAAATAAAACATGGATACCAAAATGTAGCAGACACATAAATGCAGGCTGTCCAGTGTAACGCTTCACAGCACAGTATTTTCAGGTCAAAGATTTCATTTGCATTGGTGCTGAAAGGGAATTCTGGAGCACAGCATAAATCCAAACATCTCCAACCACGTTCTGTGGCTGAGGAAGCAAATACAACTACACACATGCATCAAGCAATAGTTGCATAGGTTACCATTAAAGTCTCAAGAGGCCAACAGTCCTCAACATCTGTTACATACAGCAACTGAAAAGCAAACAGCTATACGTAAAAGTTCATTTGGACTTTGGGAAATCTGTGTTTCCCTAAGGATGGAAACACTTCCATGTAACTCCGTGTAAGCTGCACTCACCTCATGGGGAGAGACGCTCTGAACGCCAGCACCGAACTCTGCCACTGACTCCCTCGGGATGGAATTGCCTGGGGCAGCCAAGAACTGAGGAAGGCAAACAGACATGAGAAGAAGCTGACTGTGATGACACTGATTCTGCACAAGACCTATTTATTAATTATAATAACGTTAATAATAAAATTAGTTATATGCAGGTTATATATAGTTTTATATAGAGAGAGTTATATACATAAACCACAACACTGAGTTTTGAATCATCTTGGCTATTTAACTGATGACAGTATACAGTGCATGCCTGGAGATGATAACCTCACACTCTTCAGTGGGTAAACGACACCCAAAACGCGGGCTGCCCGGTGGAGTGAACCCACAGGGCGCCGAGGGCTGAAGCGGATACGGGTTTTAAGTCCATGAGTAGATCAGAGTAATTCTGTTCTTCAGCTCTGGTCACGGCCTGAGGTGCCGATCCTGGGGGTAGAGCCTCCGCCGTTCCGATCGGGAGGACCGATGCCGGTTCTCACACCCC